TTGCTTTAAAGTAAAAGCTTTGCTAAAATATAAAGGGCTTTTGCGGAAACGAAAATATTTAATTAAATAAATAAGTTATAACGAATCGGAAAATTCGTAGATTTTAAAAAGGGATATTACGAAAAAAATTGTTTAAATGTATAAAGCAAGCTTATTGGAAGCAAATTTATAAAATAAAGAAAATACCGAACTTTAGCGGGTAAATACCCGGAAAAAACGGGGGTATTACAGGAATAAAATAACAAAAGCCAAAAAAATAACCCAAAAAAATATTTTAAACGTGCCGAACCGGTTAGCTACCGGGGAAAAACGTAAAAAAACCCGTAAGCGGTTTGCAATAACCGTAAAATATCGTACTTTATAAATAAAAAGTTAAATAAAAACGGTATAATATGGGGAACGCTTTAAATTAATGGTGCGATATATTTAAATTCCAAAAAATATGCAAAGTGTAGCACATTTCGGAAAGCTTATAAAAAGCATGCTTAACTATCACAAAGTAAACAGTATATACTGTCATAAGGAAGCCTTAGGCATAAATATCAGATGCCTAAGGCATCGGAAGAGCGGTCCCCCTGCCTAAAAGCGTATAACGCTTCCAAGCGTCAAAAGGGAAGCTTAGTAAGCAAGGAGGACAGGGAGTTACGTGTATATAAAGGGCAAAGGCCCTTACGGGACCCTGCACTTCAAATCCTTTCCTTTTTAAAGCATATCAACCGAAATAGCCTTACACCGTGCCTATCCCTTTTGCTTGCAATAATTATAAGCCCGGCAACTTTTAAACCCTTTAACGTAAAGTAAAAGGCTTAACAGCACGGATTTATTTCCCTTTTATTACCTTTATCAAATCGTTCCCAAACGCGCTCCTTTAAGCGCGTTTATCCTCCTTTTCCTTTCCGCAATTCTTTTACGAAAAAATTCCTACGCTTTTAAAACCTTTTTCGACAAAGTTTTTTTTACCGAAACAAATTCCGTTATTAATCCCGAACGTTGCCAAAAACCTTTATTAAATTTTACTTTTTTAACTTTTACGTTTTTACGCTTTTAAAGCTTCCAACCCCTTATCCTTTACCGCTTTACTTTTACAAGCTTCCGGTTATTACCAGTTATAAATAGCACGGATAACGATTTTTTCGTAATAGCGCTGCTTAAAAATTAAAAATAATGGCTTACGTAATTTACGGCGCTCCGTTAAAACGCATTAATTTTAAGGATTTAAAACCAAATTAACTTTAATTTAAAGTCCCCGAACGACGTATAGGCCAACGAAACCCTAAATTTTAACTTTTTTGCAATAAAAGCCCGGGCCAAGCACGTTAAAAACCATAAATTCAAACGCCTGGCTTAACAAACGATCCTTTCGACCGAAAAAAAAAAAGCTTGCCTAAAAGCCTAGCAAAGCAAAAGCAAAGCCACGCAAAGATTTAATCCCGAACTTTCCCAAGCCCTTTCGGTTTTTACTAAAGGTAATTTTAAAGCCAAATACAAAAAAGCGCTTAAAGCAAAGGATACCGCAAGCAAAACCGCTTCGAAAAAAATTACAACCCTTTTTAAATGGATTAATTTTTCCGTAAACTTTATCGCGCTTGCAAACGCGCAATTAAAAGTTTAAACCAACAATTACGTTACTTTCCGTAGCATTATTATTTGTTTAAAAGCGCTTTACGCTCCCACTTCCATAATAAAAATTTAAATAATTTTTTAAAAATACCGCAATACGTTTAAAAAGGCCGCCAGCACTACAAATATTAACTAATGGTTTCCGAAATTCCAAACGATCTTTATTTAAGCCAAAATTAAAAACGTTTTTAAAATACAAGGCCTTACGCTTATGCTTAACTTTTTTAAATATATAAAGCGCTTTAACCCTTTTTGGGCAAAGCGCTACCGTTAAAAAATAGCTACGGGCAACTTTACGGGAAAAATAAATATTTTGGTTACTAAATTTTTAACGATTTTTTTTTAGTACCGCATTAATAATTTGGGCACTAAAAAAAAGCTCGCGTTTTTAACTTTCGGGGGCGTACTTAAAAACAAAAACGAAAAAGTTAAAAGCATTTAGCAAAATAACGCAACAACGTACGGATGCCCGGTTTGCATTTAAAACCATTCCTAAAAGCCGGAGGATTGTTAAAAGTTCGTTTACGTACTTACCGGCAACTCCGAACGCTTTCGCAACAAGCTAAACAACGAAAAATGCAAAAAAATTAAAAAGTCCCTGGAAAAAAACCGTTAAAAATTACTTAAAAAATCCTTCCTTTCCAAAAGCAAATTTAAAAATTCCGCTTAAAAAAAGCAAGCCGAAAGCGCGTTAAATTCCAATTTTTAAGCTTTAAAAAAAAAGTGGGACTTAAACGCGGCCGTACTTAAAATGCTTTTGTTTTAAAGCGTTTTTTCGGCCCTTAATATTATAAAAAATACTTATTTCGAAAGCACGCTATTTAATAATTGCGGTTTGCTTTACATCGTTAACGATAAAAAGCGCTTTAATAAAAGGTTATTTTAATCGTTAAACGGTACCGAAACGGTCCAATACGGCATTTAATACCTTCCGATTTTGGGACGTAGCATTCGTACGCTTTTTAGCTCTTTAAACGGAAGCGGAAACCTTAAGCTTTACAACGTCGTTTTAGTAAAAGGCTTTTATATTAATATTATTTCGAAAGCCCGCTTAAACGCCAAAAAGGTATAATTTTGCGGGAAAAACGCGATTTTGCGCATTAAAAAAGTTACCGACGGGAAAGTAATTAAACGCTTTTAGCGCAAAAACAACGTAATGTTTTATAAATACAAACCTATTGCTATTTACTTTGTATTAACCACGTTGCAATTTTTCCCAAAAAATACGGTTTTAACCTTTGCGATTAAAGAATTTTTACGCCGCAAACGTGCTACGCATACGTAACGTCCATTTTCGAATTTTACAAAACCGCAAAAAAATACCGCCGACCTTTAGCATTTGCGCAATGGTTATTTGGGATTACAAGCGCTGGAAGCTTTCGTTTGGAACGCCCGAAACGTTAAAATTAAAGGACCTAAACGGATTAAATACGAAGCATGCGCAACAATTTATGCTATAACCGTCGTTTCCAAGCGCTTTATAAAAAAGGCCATGCGCCCTTTTTGGAAGGTTTGGTTTAACTTATTTAATTACCTTAAATCGAAATTAAGGATAAACTGGATTTTGCTGTTAATAAACGAATATAACGGCAAAACCTAAAGCTTTACACTTTTAAACAAAAAAGGACCAATGGTTACCAAAGTTTTAAAAAAATGGAAAACGTAAGTAAAAAAATAGTACGAACTATTTATTGCTATTTTTAAATACAACCAAAAAAAGTCCATTATATTTATAAAAAGGTTTTTGGAATACGAAAAATGGGCTTAAATTAAAAGCATTGTTATCGAAACCTTACCGTTATACATTTACGAACCCAACGGGATAATCGAGCGTACGGGATAAAACGTTGTTACAAAGGGGATACGCATGCGCGAAAGCGCAAAACTTCCTAAGCATTTATAGCCGGAAACGGTTTACGCTGCCGTTTGGCTAAAAAATATAAATCCTTTACCGTTAAAAAGCATGCGCGTTCCTAACAATATTTTTTTAAATTAATTTCGGGGGTAATTCCGGCATTACGCTTTAAAGCTTTTTACGGGTTTAACAACCGATTTAAAACCGGATTGGGACGGCATTTACGCTTACGGGTGCAAAGTTTATCCTTTAAACGTAAAAAGGTCCTACAACGCGAATTTTAAGCATTTTAAAATTAACCTTTGTGCTGGGGTTGGATATTTAATAAGTTATTAAACCTTTAACATTTACCGGATTTGGGTCCCGTTAAAAAAAAAGTAATAATTACAAAAAACGTTAAATTTAATAAAAAAAGCTTTTTTAAAAGCAAACAAAAAAAGGACCCGATCGACGTAGCTACTTACAATTTGCTGGTTAAATACAACGAAACGAAAAACCCGCTTGCAACCCGAAAAGGAATTACTAATGCGCTAAAGCTTTTCCAACCGGAAAAGCTTTAAGCACTTATTTCCGTTACCAAATATTAAGGTTAAAAATCGGGGGTAAAAAAGCCAGGTTTTATTGTAACCATAAAAGCTAAAGCCGCAAAGGATTCGGCCAACGGGCCGGATCCAAACGCGCACAAATTTTTAATTCCAAATGCTTTAAAAAATGGCTATAAAGCAAAACAAATGCGTAATACGGGCTTTTTACGTATGGGCAATTCGTATTACGGCTTTATACGGCCCGGGAAAAGCAATAACTTCCCGTTGGTAAGGGGTAAAGGTAACAACGAGCCCGAAAAACAACTTTTAAAACCGTTAGGGCTGGCTTTACCTTATAAAGCAACAAGCCGGTTTTTGCTTACCTTAAAACCGGATATGCCAATTGCAACCATAAGCGGCACCTTTGCGGCGCCCCTAATCGCGATACCAAAAGCGTTTAAAACTTTTAAAAGTTTATTCGAAGCAAACCCAAACAAGCAAAAAGCGCCGCCTTCCTTTCCTTTTCCGGTTAAAAAAGGCAAAGGCCAACCCCGCAAAAGGACGGGCCTTTTGCTTTCGCCCAAAGCTTTTTTTTCCAACGCGCTTTTACCGAATTCGCCGATAATTACGTTTAAAGCAATCCGCGCCGCAACGCGTGCGGCCGCAAAGGAAAAAAAAAAAAAAAAAAAAAAAAAGGAAAGCAAATAACGCAATAACTTTAACAGCGCCATTTTTTATTACGGTTTAGCGATAGCGTTTAACGCTTCCAAATCGAAAATTAAAAACGCTACCTTTGGAACAAATTTAATAAACGAAAGTTAGCGAGCCTTTTTCGATACGTATTTGCTTAATTAACAAACGGCGATTAAAAAAAATAATTTTGGCCATCGCCCGGTTTATAAAATAATTATAATTACCGTAACGAAAACATTAAAGCGCAATAGCCTTTAAAAAAATAAACGGTTGCATTAAAACGAATTACAATAAATTCCAAAATTTTAGCGAAAGCTTAATACGCACCCGCATGGAAAAAAATTTAAACAATTTGTTTTCGGGAAAATTAACAAATTATTAAAAAAAAAAGTTTAAAAGGAAATTCCGAAAAATTTGCTTGGTAACAAAGCTATCGACATTATTTGGGTATTTATTTACAAATTCGACGAAAACGGTTACGTTACGGACTATAAATCCCGCGCGGTAACTAAAAGTAATTAATAGCCCAACGGTTTGGAAAAAACTTACGCTGCTACGCTTGTAACCAAAAGCTTTAAAATTATAATGGCAATTATAGCTTATTTCGACTTCGAAACGTATTAAATTAACGTTAGCAAAGCCTTTTTTTACGCAAAAATTAGCAATAATTATATACCCGTTTACGTAAAGTTCCCCTTTGGGTATTACCGAAAAAGGTTCGTAACCCGGCTTAAAAAAGCCTTATACGGGCTACGGGATTTACCGAAGTTATAATACCTAGCTTTTAAAAAAACCCTTAAAAAATTAAAGCTTACCCCGTTAACGAAAAAGCCTTATTTATTTATAAGCACAAAACGTAAGGTTTTTTTCCTTTTGTACGTTAACGATATAATTATCCTTAACCGTATTACGCATTTAAAAATAACAACGAAAGTATTAAACGGTTTTAAAAAAAAGTACAAAATAAAAAAGGAACCACTTAAAATTTTCCTCGGGGTCCAAATCGTAAAGGATAAAAAGGTACGAACAATAACCCTGCACCACGACTTTTACATCGACAAAATCGTTAATACCTTTAACTTCGGGAATAAAAGCGTAAAACGCTCCCTTTTGCCCAACCAAACGCTTAAAAAAAATTCGGGGGTAACGATACCCGCCGAAATCCTAGCCATGCAAAAAAAAATCGGGTTTATACTTTATACGGCCATTACTATCCGCCCAAACGTTGCTTTTGCAAGCGCAAAACTTTCCAAATACCTTACAAACCCAAATAAAAAGCACTTAAAAGCGGCAAACCATACCCTTTTATATTTAAAAAGGTTAAAATCCTATTGCATCCGGTTAAGGAACGTCCCAAAATCCAACCATTTGCTCCTCGCTTTAAACGCCTTTTTCGCCGACGATAAAAAAACGAAAAGGTCGTTTAAAAAATACGTTATATTCCTATTCGAAAAGCCCGTAGCGTAAAAAGCAAAAAAATAAGCTACCGTTACAACGTCCATTACAAAAGCAAAGCTTTTAGCGCTTATAAAGCTCGGAAAAAAAACCATCGCCATGCAAAGGCTTTTCCGAAACCTGCGTTTGGAAATTAATATTTTTTAAAAGCTTTGCTATAATAACATACAAACGATCCGATTAGTAATTAAAAAAGGCACCCGTATTAATACGGCCTTAAAGCACGTAAATATTATAAATATATGGCTACGCCAAAAGTACCAAAAAGGAACGTTCGACGTAATATATTTTAAAACCGCCCTTATGCTAACAAATAGGCTTACCAAAAACCTCCCGCTTTACAAATTTAAAATATTTAAAGCTGCTTTAAAATTGCACAATTCCTTTAAAAACGGGTCGGCAAGCTTAACACGCAGCCAAAAACCTCGAAGCAAATACTAAAAGCGTATAACGTTTGCATAAAAGCACAACGCAAATTCCTTTTTTATTAATAAATATAAAGCATGCCGGTTTTAAATAATAAAACGGCACTTAATTATAACGCGTACAATTTCCAAAAGCGCTGCACCTTTTTTTTGTCCATTTTTCCTTTCCATCCTAACCTTAACCCTTACCCATTATTTAATAAATAAAAGCATTTCCATAAAAGGAATAGCCCTAAATTATTGCGGTTTTAATGCCATTTCCTTAACCTCCTTCGTTATTATTACCATTTTCCTTTTTTTTTAAAATCGGGCTACGAAAAGCAGAATTACTTCGACGGGGAGCCTTTTTATTTCCCTTTTTGGCTTTATCCTTTTGCTTGCTGCCCGGTTTCGGGTAAAGCTCGAAAAAATGGCTTACCACTTTTTTAAACTTTTTAATTTTAGGGCGAAAACCACCCAAAAGCTTTTTTTAAAATAAAGCAATTACAATGCGCAGCTAAGGCAAAAAGGGGAAAGGGTTGCAACGGTAATTGCTTTAAGCACATTAAACACACCGTAAAGTACGACCATCCCAAAAGGAACGCGCTATGGGCCTATTGCTACAAAGGCCCCGAAACCTTATTAAAAAGCTTTTAATGCATTTATCGCATAAAACCGCGCGGGGAATGGTATTATCGGAAAAGCCAATTAAAACGTTCCCGTTAAAAAAAGGTTAACGGTTTCGCTAAAAAAAAAGGCCAAATAGCATTTTTTTTAAGGATTAAAACGGAAAAGAAAGGGGTAGTTAATATAAAACCCGCAAAAACGGTTAGGAACGAATTAACCTAGCTATTTACCCTCGTTTTTTTACCCGCTTTGCGCTTCCGGGTATTAAGGAAAACAACGGGCTTATCGTTATTATCGTTATTTTTTTAAATAAACCGATTAACGAATTTATCAAAATTAAAATTAATTTTAATCGTTTAACGAATAGGCCAATCGGGCCCAAAGCTTTTGTTTGGTTTAGCCGGAGCTTAAAAAGCACCGGTTAGGTCGGGTCGGGGATTAAAACGAAAAGTGCAAAAAGTAACAAAAATAACCGAAAGTTCGAAAACGGTTACGGCAATATTAATCGGGGTTTAAATTAAAAAACGGCGCAAAGCTTTTATCCGTTTAACGTAACGAGCCCGATTAGCTTTAACCCGCTTAGCGCTTTCGGCAAACGCACGCGCTTTTATCGCTTTAATCGTTTGGGCGTTATTCTAAGCCTTTTCGCGGGCAATTTGCTGCTCCCGCGCGTTTTTTATATCCCGTTATTTATCCTTTTTCGCAGGGAATTTACTTTTTTTTTGCTTATTTTTTTTAATTTGCTAAACTTTTTTTTTTTTTAAACAATGCTTTTTTCGTTTGCTTAGCTTTAATTGCTAAAATAGCTATAACCGTTTGCAAATCCGCACTATACGCGTACAAAACGAAATTAACAAAAAAGCAATAAATTGGTAAAAAAGCAAAAAGCTACGATTTATTCTTTTTGGGCTTAAACCCGGTTAAATTTTTTGCGTTTAGCGCGCTTTCGAACGGTTGTACGCATTGTTTTGTTACCGGCAATACCCATTTTCCAGCCAATTTGTTAGCACCGCACGACGCTTTCAAAACATTACGCCGCCGCGTAAAGCACTTATAATTGCTTGCTTTTGCTTTTACAAAAATTTTTGTATTAACAAAAGCTTAAACGATAAAAACGAAAGCGTAAGGATTTACGGATTGGTAAAAAAATAATGGTAAAAAGGAAAAAAAAGGAAAACCGGAACGAAATAAAAAAAAAAAAGGTTTTAATTGCTACGCCTACCTTTTCCCAGTAATAATTAAAGCATTTGCTTCGTTACCTTTTGTAATTAAAGCATTTGCTTCGTTGCCTTTAGCAACGGGGAGCGTTTGCTTCGTTACTTTTCGAAGCTAATGCGCTTTTACGGTTACCCTTTAAAAGCGAAAAACGCTTGCTTCGTTACTTTTTAAAGCTAATGCGCTTTTACAATTAACCTTTAAAAGCGCGGTAAACTTTTAAATCCTACGCTATTAACATAGCAACCAATTTCCCTTTATTTTATTTACAAACAACCCAAAAAGTTCGCTTAAGGGGTGTATTACAAAATAAACAGTATATATTGTTATAAAAAAGTTTTAAGCATAAATATCAAATGCTTAAGGCATCGGAAGAGCGGTCCCTTTGCTTAAAAGCGTATAACGCTTCCAAGCGTTAAAAAGGAAGCTTAATAAGCAAGGAGGACAGGGAGTTACGTATATATAAAGGGCAGAGGCCCTTACGGGACCCTGTACTTCAAATCCTTTCCTCCTTAAAGCATATCAACCGGAATAGCCTCACACCGTGCCTATCCCTTCTGCTTGCAACATTAACGCAATACGCTAAAGCAATTACCGCATTTTAAACGTACGTTATGGTAAAAAATACCATTATTTGCTCGAAAAAAAGTAAAAAAACCTTTAAATGGCATAGCAAACGGGCTTAAGCGTTTGGATAGCGGCAAATGCATATCGGCGGCATTCGAATTTATTGGGGAACGAAAAAAAAGCATTTTAAAATTATTTATTAAAGCATTAAAGCTTAATTAGTAATTAAAAACATTAAAATTTTGCAATGTTGCAAAAGCAATATAACAAAAGGAAATTGTAATTTTAGCTATAATAAATTAACGAAAAAATTTAAAATTAACCATTTTTTAAAAAAGAAATACCAATAATTAATTAAAAAAATATATAAAAAAATTAATTAAATGCCGTATCCAAAAAAATTAAAATTTCCGGAAATTACGTTTTTTTCGCCGGCGCTAAAATTATTGCCGGTAAAATCGTTAGCGCCGAAAGCGGCACTTTCCGGCGCTAATACGAACGCCGCACTTTAACGGGAAACCGCGCGGTTGTAAGCTTGGGTATCCGAATACGCTGCAATCGTAACAAAACTAGCGGCAATATTACCAAAAAAAGCAACCATATTTTTTCCGAAACGTTTAAAAAACGCTTTTATTTTATTAAAACGGTTTTTAATAATAACCAAAGCTTAAATTTGCTTTTTTATTTAAAAAAAAATGGTACGAAAATATTAAAACATTTTTTAAATAATTTCCAATATTGCAATGCGGGCAATTTTGCGTTCGATGCGC